CAGGTTCGAAAGTTGAGGTCGAAGAACATTAGTTCAATGAAGGTTCAGTGGAGGGGTCAACTAGTCGAGGAGGCAATTTGGGAGACCGAGCATGATATGCGTAGCCGTTATCCTCATATTTTCACCACTTCAGGTATGTCTCTATACTCATTTGAGGACGAACGTTTGTTTTAAGAGGGGGAGGATGTAACGACCTAGTCGGTCATTTTAAGTATTTTAGCCCCGATCCCCTATTTATTGCCTCCTCTATGTTATATTGTGGTTATGTGACTTGCTGAGGTGGTTGCTTTCGGGAAAGTTTTGGAGTGAAATGGGACACATAGTTCCTAAGTTGGAGGTTTAAGTTGTATAAGTTGGTTGTAGTTTGACTTGTGTGAAGACGACTCCGGAATGGATTTTTGATGTTTCCAATAGCTTCGTGTAGTGATTTTGGTCTTAGGAGCGTGCTCGGATGTTGATTTGGAGGTCCGTAGGTCATTTCGGCGTGAATTGGCAAAAGTTGGGAAGTAAGAAGATTTTGAAAAGTTTGACCAGGAGTTTACTTTATTGATATCGAGGTCGGATCCCAATTCTGAAAGATGGAATAGGTTTGTAATGTCATTTATGACTTGTGTGCAAAATTTGAGTTCAATCGAAGTTGTTTTGGTATGAATTGACATTAGTTTTGGAACTCGGAAGTTCATAAGTTCTTTAGGCTTGAATCGATGTGCGATTCATGATTATAGTGTTGTTTGATGTGATTTGACGCTTCGACCGTGTTCATATGATGTTTTAGAACTTGTTGGTATGCTTTGTTGAGGCCGCCTCGGGTGTAATTCGGATCATGTTCGGTGCATTTCGGAACCTTGAAGGTTGCTAAATCTGATGCTTCTGGTTTTCTTATACGCGATCGCGAGTGGATTAACGCAATCGCAAAGAGTAGTTTAGCACGGGGGAAAATTTGCTCTATGCGATCGCGTAAGGAGGTATGTCATCGCAGAAGGTTGGCTTTCAGTGAATCGCCAACGCGTGAAGGTGGTCGCGTTCGCGTAGAAGAAATGGTGGGGTGGGGGCTGAGGCAGTTTGTGTTACATGATCGCGTGGCCTGGGATGCAGTCGCGAAGTTGAGGCAACGTGTTTATCGCGTTCACGATTGGTTTCACGCGAACGCAAAGAATAAAATGGAGCTAGGCAGAATTTGTCTTATGCGATCGCGAAGGGATTTCCTCGATCGCGATGTGTAAATCACTGGACAGCATATCACTTAAGTTTGAAATCGAGGGTTTATTTTATATTTCACATTTTGGACTTAGAGAGCTCGGTGTGAGGCAAATTTTTAGGAGATTTTCAGAGAGATTGTTGGGGTAAGAATTCCTAACTCGATTTTGGTTAAATTACTCGAATCTATCATTGTTTTTATCATGTAATTAGTGGTTTGAGTTGAAAAAATGGGAGAAAATGGTATAAACTCCTTAGGCTAAATTTTTGAGTTTTGAAAGGCGAATTGAGATCAGATTTGAGTAATTCTTGTATAGTTGGACTCGATATCGAATGGGTGTTCGGATTTTATAATTTTGATCAGCTTCCGAGATGCGGGCCCGAGTTGACTTTTTGGGTTGGCTTTTTAATTCTTCGCAAAGATCGTAATTTCATTGTTTGAATTAGTTTCCTATAGTTATATTTATAGTATGAAATTATTTTGGCTAGATTCGAGTCGTTTGGAGTTGAATAATCGAGGGAAATACCTTCTAGTGGATTTATTTAGCATGGTTTGAGATAAGTGGTTTGCCTAACCTTGTGTGGGAGAATTACCCCTTAGGATTGGTGTTGTTTGTGATAATTGTGATGTGTAAAAGCCGTGTACGCAAGGTGAGGAGTGTGTACATGGGCTAAATGTAAAAATTATCGACTTTTAGATATGTAAATTCCTTCCGTGCCTTAATTGAGTTACCTTAACATGTTATAGTCATCATTTTTAGTCTAAATTCACATGTCTACTTGACTTGTCTCTTACTTGCTAATTGCTCTACATGTTTAGTTGAAGTTCTTGTTTCCTTTATTCCGTATTCATTATTTAACTGTTGAATTTTTTACTTGAAATTGCTATTCTTGGAATATCTTATTGTTGAAATTGGTATCGAGTTGCAAAGGTCGTGATTCCTATTGAGGCAACGTGTTAAGTTGTAAAATATTATTCTATTGAGTTACTCTCCGGTTGTTATTGTTGAGACTTTCTGTACATTGTGGTTGAGCCGTGGGCTCCTTATTGTGAAATTCTATTATTGTTTGGTTTCTCTCGCAAGTTGTGATATTGGGCACTTGAGGTGCGATTTGTGATACGTTGTGATATTGATACGCATGCGGTGGTATAAGGTCTGGGTGTTAAAACGCATGTGGTGAGACAAGGTGGGCTTGATACGCGTGGCTAGTAGGGAAACTACTAGAAGTCATGCGGTGTGATAAGGTGGGCTAAAATGAGGGATGCTATTTCGGAAAAAATAATTTTTCAAAACTAAATGTAAAGGCTCCCGCGGTGATATAAAGAAAGACTGTAAGTTATTATTTTGATTTGGGACTACGAGGCGGTACCTCAGTAGTGACCCTTTTGATCCAATCTCTATCTGTTGTATTTGACTTTGGTTGTTTGTTTCCTTTGCATATTAATTGTTGTTTTTCTCCGTGTTGTTCTACTTACTTTAGTTCCGTGTAGCTAGCCTTTACATGATATTTGTTGTTTAAATTTCGTTATTTTCATTGCTACACCGCCATACTGTTGTACAATCTGCTTATTTGTTCTAATAGGGTTCTGACCTAACGTCGTCACCACTCTATCGAGGCTAGGCTTGGCACTTATTGGGTACCGTTGTGGTGTACTATTGCTACACTTTTACACATTTTTTTTAGCGGATCCAGGTACATCCTACCAGTCCAAGCATCACTGATTTGTAAAATAGATGTTATTGTTAATTAGAATAGTGTTGTAGACTACTGTATTATGAAACTAAGGACCAAAAAAGAGTAGTCTTTAAAAGTGTACTATTCATTAGGATAACTAGAAAATCGATTTTAAACGATAAGATCAAAATATAAAGGACTAAGCTGAACCGTCAATATAACAATAGAAAGAAAAATGAGTTAAAATATGTAGGCCAATGTCGAACCTTTCACGTAACAATGAAGAACAAGGAAAGTGACTACAAGAAGGATGAAGTTAAACTTTAGACATACCAGACAGAGAAAAAAAGGTTGAATCCTCGCATGTAAACGTTTAAGAAAAAAGGAAAGAAAAAAAAAAAGAAAACGAAAAATGCCAAGGACCAAGTTGAACCTTCAAACATAACAAAAAAGAAATAAAAATATGAAGGGCCAAGCTGAACCTTTCACACGTGATGTTGAAAATTGAAGAACAAAGTGCTGATACCACCTACCACGGTGAGACTTCGAGCACCATGTTAGTATAATACTAACGCATTCAGAATTTAAATTTGATGTACAGATGATATGAAAAAAAAATTATAGAAGGACTACTCCACATAATACTAATATTTTAAATAAATTTAATATAAAATTTAAAATGAAATATAACATTACTTAAGTTATAGGGAAATCATCCGGGCAAATATATATATGAGTCAAACTTCTTAATTTTGACCGTAAATTCGAACATGTAATCTTTAATTTTTTTGAATAAAATTTAATATATTTTAAAATTACATTAAAAATAGTAATATAAGTTAGCATTCAAAATTTTTGAAAGACATACGAAAAAAATCATGATAAGAAAATAACTCATTTATTAACTCTAGAAATCTGAAATATATCATGTTTTTGGGGACGAAGAAAGTGCATAGAGAGGGGAATGGAAATGCGTGGGCGAAAATAGTTGATAAAGCCGAAAAAGGAAAATGGCATTTCACCCATTAAGGGTGTGTTTGGTATAACGGAAAATATTTTTTCAAAAAAACAGAAAATATTTTTTCAAGAAAATAAAGTAATAATCTTACTCATTTTTTGGTGTTTGGTATGCAAATTAAGGAAAATAACTTCTCAAGAGTCAAAAGTATTCATAAATTATAATTTAGATACAATAAAAATGAAGTCATAAACTTTCGAACCAACAACCTTCCGAACCCACAAATTTCATAAACTTCCGAACCGCTAAACTTTCGAACCCGTAAACTCTATAATTTCTAAACCCGCAAACTTCCAAACACATAAACCTCTTAACTCATAATTTTGGAACTCGTAAAATTTCGAACTTGTAAAGTGAAAAAAAAAAATAAACCAGAACTAAAAATATAAAATAAAAAAAATAAAAAAATTGCGGGGGGTTGGGGGATTGGGTGGGTGGTGCAGAAAAACGAAAAAACAGAAAATAGAAAATAGAAAATACAGGAAAAAAAAATTGTGCGAGAGTGGGATAGATGTGAGGGTAGGTGGAGTTTTTGGAAAATGTTTTCCGAACTTTTTCTAGGAAAGTCATTTTTCTCCAATTTCAGAAAAATGTGATATCTAGGAAAATATTTTTCAAACTATTTTATGCAACCAAACAGCGAAAAATAGGAAAACATTTTCCGGTTTTCTGTTCAAAACAAACACATCATAAATTTTGTGATATTACATAGGATAGTTGAACTTTTCAAACGATAAGAGAAAAGTACAAAGGACCAACCTGAACTTTCTGTGTAACAATAGACAAATATGAAAATAGAAATATAAAGAACAAAATCGAACCTTTAACATAACTAAGAAGAAAAAGAAAGTAAAGACATGAGGATCAAGTTAAACCTTAGAGAAAGAAAATAAAAAGTTTTGAACCCTCACAAACGCTGAAAGAAAAAGAAATATAAATATGGAGGACCAGGTTGAACCTTTCGTGTGTACTGTTGAAAATTGAAAAACAATAAGGACCAAGTTGAGCTTGAGCCTATACTTTTATTATAAAACCAGAGTTAATGTGCATTTGCACCTCAATTGAATTTATTTTCTCTCTTTTATAGGTTTGTTATATACTCCGTTGATTACTCAAAGTCTCAAAGTCGTCGGCAGAGGAAAACAACAAACAACATCATTACTCAGTACTCAGTACTCAGCACAGAATGTGTGAACAACACAAGACTTTGGAGTTTGGAACTGAAGAGTATAATTCCAATTCCAATTATGGGATTCCAATTCCAACACAAGACGTTGTATTTTGGCAAGCTGAATGTTATTCTGAAATCCCCGCTGGAAGTAATTTTGATATTCCGAGTAGTAGTAGTAATAATTTGCCAGGTTACATCAACTTCCCAGCTAATTCGACATATAATGAAAATGTTGAAATTATCCATGATTCTTTTGGCAAAGCTGCAGCTGATCAAGTAGTGTCAAGGAAACTGTTTTGCTTTGCTAATGGCCATGTTCTCGATCCACAACGTGTTGATTTGTTTTACTTGGATTTGTCAAAGAGAGCTTATCAAGTAACCATTCATCGACATAATGGATTCGACTTCTTTTCCTTAACAAAGGGTATGAGTATTTCTGTTATATATTATTTTTTTCCCCTCAATGTTGTAGTCTAATTTGCTCAGTTTTACATTTGTTTAACTTGGTTAGTACTGTGTTTGAGCTCACTATATCATATTCACTTGATATTGCACATATTGATATAGATCTGCATTTGTTGGGTGCAATGCTCTGGACTTGTGTCTACTTTAAAAGGACTAAAATAGATCTCTATTTGTTTATCAGTTGTTGACGTCTCAGATCTATTCCAGTTACTAAAGGTTTTTCTATCGTCGAAACTGCGACTGATGTTCCTCATAGATGATGAGTACTTACTTCTTACGGACGAGCTGAACCTCGTAGTGACGGGGCAGGTATTTATATATCCCCAGTTAAACATTACTACCACAATTAATTAATTCACTTCTGCATAACCTCTAAAGGTACATTAATTAATTCATATAAATTAAGGGTTCTTGAATTATTTTCAAGATTCACATTCTGAATCTGAATGCTCTAAAGGAACATCAATTCTTGTGATTATTTTTTTCATTCATCTTTTTTAATAGACTATGACTCATACTCATATAACAGGTTTCTTGTACAGTGGTTCGTCTAGTTTACTAGAAAATACGAGAAGGAATGTTATTTTCGTAATGTTATTTTCGCATTTTAGATTATTTTAGAGTTGAAATTAGACTATGACTCATATAACAGGTTTCTTATTTTCCTTACGATAATGTCGCATTTTAGATTATTTTGTTGATGATAACAACTTAATTAATTTAATGCAACGTTAATAATGTTTATGCATATGAGACATTTGTATATATATCAGTGAGTATAAAGTTTAAAACTCACAAAATAGTAGGAGTAGTAAACAATGTGTTGAGTCACAAAATAAAAAAAATAAAAAAAAGCATAAGTTTTGAAAACATATACTAATCCTATTTAGCTAGCTCATAATGTTTCAGCTTATATATTCATACTGCTCACAATAGCATCTTCCTATTGCTAGTATTATTAAGAACAAATAGAACCGGCTGTACACAAGATTTATTGCAAGATGTTTATGTTAATGCCTTCGGCAAATTAAAAGCACCTCACCTGGACATCTTAAAATCTTCATTTCCATCTAGTTTAGTCTACAAAAAAAAAAAAAAAAAAAAAATTGAACCAAAGGAATAAACGGTCCAAAGTGCCGTTCTTTATAGAAACATTTGATAAGAGATGACATACAAAATCATTTATCATTTACGCAATTGACTGATTCAACGAAGAAGTTGCATTTTATAATAATACCAAAAGATACTGCAGTTAGCTCAATGAGTAAAACCAAAAATGAAGAGAAGTACATTTGTTGGAGTATTTGCAACAATGGATTTGTTAGTAGCTTGCATAGTTGTATTTCACATCACTTTATCTGCAGTGGTATTAGCTATCCCATCTTTTATATGGGATAGATAATCCCACAAATTTGGTACAAAATTTATTGATATCCATAACCAAACATGGTATAAATACAATTCAAGTTTTCTGCTTATCTAATTTTGGATTTGAATCCCCAAATATAGTAAGAAACCTGCATGCACAGCTAAAACTGTGATGAAATGTTTTCTTATGTCTAATAACTGTTGCACACATTTTAATTGCTCTGTTATCTCTTTAATTGACTCTTTGTTAAATGATGAAATGTTGTTTCCTCTGAGAATAATGTTTTTCTGAAACCGCTTATGAACATTTTACCTTCTCGGGCCAGCGCATAGCGGGAGCTTATTGCACCGAACTACCAGAGAGGAACTGCTAATTTGGATTTTCCTTTACTGCAGCCGCATTTACAGATGGAAGTAAAACTTGCCTTTTCATTACAAAACCTGATGAGATCCACTATGCATTATGCCATTTCTCAAGCCTATTCTTCCAGAAAGACTAAAAGCCAAAATGTCAAATCTTTTGTTGTTTGTGAGTGTGAGAATGAACTTTTCCTTGATCATTGCAGAGAAAATAGCTCTCAGTCTATTCAATCCTTCATTCCTTTTGGGGGAAACATTAAATTATCCCCATGTAGGGTGGCTTCAGTAGTCTATAGTTTATACCTATATGGTGAAGTGCAAGAAAACTTTTCAATTCTAGGACGTGTTGTCGACGTTTCTTTTTCAAGTGTCAAGTTCTCCTATCGCACAGACCCTCATTCTTCACCTGGTCATTCGCAAGATTACCATTTTCACGGGATTTTGTCTTTGAGCTTGTTGGTACCCACTGAACAATCACCTGTTGAATTCTTTGAGATTGTATATTGTCCACAGAGAGCTCACTTAACTTCCAAAGATCAAAGAAGCCCTGGTACTAACAAGGTTAGCCTTTACTCTGCTGAATTCTTGCTCTTTTCTTATGGTTTTGCTAGTTCTATATATGTGTTTACTAGCCTAAATTCCTTTCTTCAGAAGAAAAATTTGTTATGTCTATTATGCTTTGTCTAGAATTTACATTTCCAACCACCTTAAAGCAGAAAATATTTACTAGTATAAGTCTTAACAGTTCATATTGTTTGCAGCAAAAGCAATATGGCTTGTCTCCATGTCTAGATTCTGCAGTAGTTCAAAGTTCATCAAATGAACGACAGATGTTATTGGAAGCATTCGAGGACGATGCAATTTATAGTCATGAAAGCCAAGAGGTTGTTGCAGAAAGTCAAACAAACATTCAAAAGAAAAGAAAGAAGTCAAGCACAATGTGGACTGCTGCTGATATGATAAGTTTAGAAGACCTTCAACAGAATTATGGCAAGAAACGTGAAGAGGCTGCTGAAAGCCTACAAGGTAAGCTCTGAGTTCTAATTTTTGTAGAATCTTGTTTACACATATAGGATCTAATCCAGGCGAATCTCACATCGACAAAACACGAGAGAGATGTTGACTATATAAGCAAACAAGCCTTAGATCATTGTGACGCATTTTAAAGTCGTGCAGGCCTAGGCCCAAAACGGATGGGTTGGATTGTTACATATTGTATCAGAGTCACTCTGCATGAACGGTGGGGCAAACCTCAGTGATGACCCTGAGTCCTTAAGGGGTGTATGTGATACCCTAGGCGAATCTCACATCGACAAAACACGAGAGAGATGCCGGGTATATAAGCAAACAAGCCTTAGACCCTAATGACCGTGTACGCATAGGCCGAAAGTGGACAGTACACCCATCATCTAGGAAATAAGCATTTTTCAATATTTTACTGCTATTATCTTCTTATCTAAAATTCTTGATTCCTGCAGTTAGTGTCTCTACATTTAAGAGAATATGCAGGAAGTTTGGCATTGACCGGTGGCCAACTGCTAAAAGAAATAAAGACAAGTGTCTCTTCTCTGCTCGCAAGTGCGATGCACCATTAATTGCTAAGGTGAGAACATCTCAACTACTACAAAATGGTATGCCATGTGAGGACAGGGAAACCACTTGTATTTCCAGGCCAAAGAGAAAAGGGAAGGAAAAAGAAGCAGCAGATAATATAGAGGCGATTAATCATTTCGAAGAACAACCTTCTGAAATACAGAACCGTACTCCCAAAAGGCAGGCAGTAGATTGTGCTACTAAAGATTCATCTTGCCTCAACTCAATCACCGTGAGCATACTTATCTTTTTCCTTTTCTCAGCCATCATTTCAACAATTTACCTTTTCTTGGCTCTACTTTATCTAGAGATGGAAAATATAGAAGAAAAGATATAATATAAGTTTCTTGAAAACACAGGAAGTTCCAGCACCAAGTTTCTTTTATATAACCATCTCTCCAATTATGCTTCAAGAATAGTTGTATATACGGTCAAAACTCTCTATAACAACATCGTTTGTTCCGATACTTTTTTGGCTATTATAGTGAAGTGTTGTTAAAAAGACATATATTATATAGTAACATAATATGAAAATTGGTTCCGAGAAAAACTTGACTTTTATAACGAATAGCTATTATATAGAATTACTATTATAGAAAGATGTGACTGTACTTTCTACTTTCTATCAGGGTTATGTCGTGGATGATATGGTTTCTACTCGTATGGGAGTTCAAGCTTATCTTGAGGCAATATCAATAGAGCAGTTGAACTCAATATCGTGCAACGAAAACACTTCACAAAACACAAAGCTTCTTTTCGACAACTTGATTGCATTGCCTCTGAAGGATCTGATCAATCCTGAGAAAGAGATTTATATGAAAGAAACATTGTGCATCCTAGCTGAAAACCTCTCTTTTTTTTTCAGTAGAACAAGCGAAACAGATAGTTGAACTCAAGTTTGATTTTTCTACACTTGTGCATAGCTGGAGAGAGTATTCTCAATCCCAAGTATGCAGTCAAAAGTTCTTTGAAGACTTGGAGAGAAATAGAACTTTACTAGCGACCTCAGCTAAAGATGAAGAGAGTCTAAAGGTTAGATATGACGAACTTCAAAGCAAGAAAAAAGAACTGATGGCACAATTTGAGGTAGTGCAAAAAGAGCAGGAAGGAATAGCTGAACAGAGGCGTGAAAAAACCGAGCAGAAGAAGCACTTGGTTTCTTTGGCGAAAGAGAAAGCGAGTAGAACCAAAGAAAAACAGTTGGTGATGACAATAGCTAGTGCTAAGTTGAATAACTTAGTTGATCAATGGGCTGCAATACAATCTCTCTTTATGTAGATTGGCCAGAAACCAACTCAGCGTACAATTCTATTTTTTCAAATTCAAATACTCCATGTTTCTTTCTAATATAGGATGTAGAGATAGTGGAGCTACAAAATCTTGAGAATTTTTCAATGTATTCCATTGAACCTGTACAAGGATATTTGTACATGTATTCAATAGATAAGGACAGAAAATTAAAGGTATATTCAGGAATCTATAGCTATATTACAGCTATTTTGTATTTGAACTAAATGGCTTGTCTTCTTCTATTTATGTGTTGGGCTATGTTGAGCCAGCAGACCTTGTGGCCCAATACATATACTCTCTTTAGCATGTGACCCAATACATAAACACTCTTTAGCATGTGGCCCAATACACAAGTCTTTAGTCTTCAGTCTAGATCCCTCGACAAACTT